TTTTATATCTTGTTTATGAATAACTAATAATTGGTCATATTTTGTTGAGTCTAGAGTAAAAATCAGAACAGGATTGTGACAGTAAAATGAATATAGAGTAACTGTCTTGTGAATTGTAGAAGTACAATGCAGAAAAACAATGTCCAAGGTAATTGAATTCAACTAAAACCCTGTATCACCTGAATGACAAATTAGGAACGTATTTTTTCTCTTTAATTTTGGACACTTTTAGTAAAATGGCCAAATGTCAATCCTTGTATTATACAGTAAAGCAGGATACTTTATTTTGGTTCATTGTGTTATTTTGTTAATTTGAACAAGTGTAACCTGCAGGTGAAAATGCTTCTAGGGAGTTATTTGAAAGAGAGACACTTAAGTATACAGCAGTTGTATTAATAGTACATATTAATATAAAAGACAGTTTGTATATGAACAGAAACAGAGGCAAAAGTAAGATTTCTTTAGTTGATAAAAAATACTTTGGTAATGAGAAGACTGGATTTGTATGGAAAAATGAAAGATATAAAGATTTATGAGAAGGATTTTGGGGATGAGGAAGAGGAGAAGATAGCATTTTTAGAATGAGAATATAAATAATACTCATTGCTGGATAGAGAATTTAAGATATGTAGAAGTTGCCCACATTCTTCCCCTACTAAGATGTTAGAAGTCAGTAACTTAAACTCTATTTTTAGTTTCATATAATGAAAATGATAATGATAGTAACCTCTGAGAGTGAAGAGTTGGGATTGGGACATTTGTGGGTATCACTTCATGCATTTTGAATTTGTTCTTTCATTTTCTGTAAGCAAAGTGTTATATTTGTCATTATGTTTAAGCATCAAGAAATTATGGATAGTAGGTAAAGAATTAAATAGCTGATGTTGATCATGAACCCATTTTTGTTGTTATTATCAAATTGAAATGTCAGTCTTTTAATATGAAAAAAAGTCTTTTTTAATTATATAAATTTTTTATTTTAAAATTGTGGGGTACAGTTAAGGGTTAGGTATACAAATATTCATTGTGCAGGTACCTTGTTGATGAGGTATGCCTCCCCTTCCCCAGACAGATATTGACTGCCATTAATCCCACCTCTCTGCCCCCCACCCCCAGTAGTTTCCTGCCACTGTCAATCCTTTTTTTATAGTATTACAGTAGTTGTTCAAGGTTCACTTGTGAGTGAGAACATGTGGTACTCAGATCTTTGTTTCTGTGAAAGATCACTCAGTATTATAAACTCTAATTCCATCCAGGTTGCTGCAAAATTCATGATTTTGCTTTTTTTTAATGGCTGCATAATATTCCATTATGTATATGTACCACATTTTTAAAATTCAGTCCTCTTTTGATGGATAGCACGGTTGGTTCCATGATCTTGCTATTGTGAACAATGCTGCGATAAACATATGTGTGCAGGTATCTTTTTCATAGAGTGATTTGAGTTCTTCTGGGTATATTCCCAGTAGGGGGATTGTGTGGTCATTTGGAAGTTGGAACTGGCATCCATTTCCTGAGCAAAACCCGAAATGCACAGGTCATAAGAGATACGATATACAAGTGGGACCTCATTAAACTGACAAGCTTCTGCAAAGCCAAAGAAACCATCAAGAGAGCAGGGAGACAGCCCACAGATTGGGAAAAAATATTTGCCAACTCCATATCTGACAAAGGCCTAACATCTTGGATCTACAAGGAACTCAAACGTGCTGAAAAGAAAAAAACAAACAACCCCATTACAAAGTGGGCAAAAGATATGAATAGACACTTCTCAAAAGAAGACATACGAGCAGCAACAGATACATGAAAAAATGTTCAGCCTCACTAGTCATCAAGGAGATGCAAATTAAAACTACACTGAGATACCACCTAACTCCAGTCAGAATGGCCAGCATCAATAACTTAAAAAATAACAGACTCTGGAGAGGATGTGGTGAAAAGGGAACACTTCTACACTGTTTATGGGAGTGTAAACTGTACAGCCTCTGTGGAAATCAGTGTGGCAATTCCTAAAAGTTCTAAAAATTGACCTTGCATATGAAAAAATGTCTTTTAAAAATTACTTTTGAACTTTGTCATTATCTCTGAGTGTCAGACTTACCCATGTATGTGTGTTTATGCACATATACATATATATGACTTTGTATATTCTGAATATGCTCTATCAATTAAGAAATATATTTTAAGAATAAAGAAATAAAATTACTCCAGAAATCGTTTTTTAAATAAAATGTAATAATAAGTTTTTTAGATAGATTAACTTTTTTGTAATGCTTTTTAGGTTAATGAGAAGTTGCTCAGTTATTTCTATTTTTATACACTGTCCATTTTCTTCCTCTGAAATGTTTGGCAGCTCCAGCAAGAAGCAACTGCTAGTTTTAAACAAGAAATCTAAACAGCTAATTTTCCAACAAACTTATAACAATTTCAAAGAATAAGTAGGTTTCTCTGTTTTATGGTCTGTTTAGAAAAAAGGTATGTAATCTCAATGAATATGATTTTTATGTGGCATTTTACTGTCACACTAAGATTTAAATTTTACCATCCTCAAAACCAACCATGGTTAATAATTTTTTTTCTGTATGTGGAAGCTGAATAGAAATTTTCATCTTGTTTTGAAGTACTTGGAAAAATTCAAGATGGTAGAAAATATTTGTAAAGCAGTTTTTTTTTACTTGCATGGTTACATCATCCTTTTCCTTGATATAAAGGAAATAAAGTCTATTTAATCAGCTTTTTTCTTAAAACAGAATAGAAAGAATAGTAGGTTTAAACTATTGATTTGGGCTCATGTACTGGGGTTCTCTAGAGAAACAGAACCAAGTGGATTTGTATATATACAGAAAGATTTATCATAGGGAATTGACTCACATGATTATGGAAGCTTGGCAAGTACAAAACCTGCAGGCTGGAGACTCTGGAGAGCGGATGATGCAGTTCCAGTGTGAGGGGCAGGAAAGGCAGTTGTGCAGATGAAATCTGAAGGCAACCTATTGGAGAATTCCTTCTTGTTAGGAGAGGCCAGTCATTTTGTTCTATTAAAGCCTTTGACTGATTGGATGAGACCCACCAACATTATGGAAGGCAATATGCTTTATCCATAATTCACTGATTTAAATGTTAAACTCATCTAAAACCTTCTTTTAAGTTGACAGGTATAATTAACTATTATAGGAAATACTTTAATATTGCTGAAATGTAAATTTTTCTTCTTCCTCAGTGGTTCCTATTCTGTACTGCCCTTAGACTTAAGCAAGAAAAGCCTCCTTGGATCCTGCTTTTATAGAGGGTCCTGCTTTAGCCCTTATCTAATCATGTCCCTCTCTGCAGAACAAGAAGACAAAGAGGCAACAGTTGTGGACCAATCAGGAGCCATGCCCCCATACTAGACCACATTCTGGTTACCGAAAACCCTGGGATACTCTGTCTAAACAGCTTCGAGCCTATTTCCAGGGCCTGCATGGAAATCAAGTCATGTATCTCCCCAGGTCCACACTCCTGACTCTGTGGACTTTGTGTCCCCTCATTATTCCTGCATGGGCCAGTGCATGGCTGTTGGGAAGTAGGGGCTATGTAGATATGTGGACTGGAACTTCTACCCATGTCCAGGTGAAACCTTCACAATGCAGAAAGGAGCTTGGGGTAGGAAAGGAAGTGGGGCAGGACGAGGGTTATGTGCCTGTTTTTCTTACTCAGCAACATCCAGGCACATGTCTGAAGTCTTCAGAATCCCAAATGAGAGCTTCCAGATCATTACAAAGGTACATTTATCTAGATAGTAGGATGGAGCACATTATATATGTGTGTATATATATATATATATATATATATATATATATTCATCACTTAGTGAGCTTGATTTATTGTAACTTTTAAATATTTAGATGTATGGTATATGGTATTCCAATGGACCTTCTGCTCTAGACATCACAAGTGTTAGAGGCAAGTCTTTCCATTGAGGGTGAGCAAATTAAAAGAATTAGAAATTTATTAGTAAATCTGAAAACTTTTTGTTGTTGTAGTTTTTTTGAGTTGGAGTCTCACTCTGTCGCCCAGACTGCAGTGCAGGGGCACGTTCCCAGCCACCGCAGTCTTGACCTGCTGGGATCCGGCAATCCTTCCCCCTCAGCCTTTCAAATAGCCAGAACTACAGGCACGCACTACCATGGCTGTCTAATTTTTTTTTTTTTTTTGGATTTGTTGTAGAGATGAGGTCTCGCCAAGTTGCCCGGGTGGGTCTCTAACCTGTGGGCTCAGGAAATCTACTCGCTTCAGCCTCTCAAAGTGCTGGGATTACAGGCTAAGCCACCGAACCCGGCCTGAAAAGTTTGTTATAAAACTAGGGTATGTTGCGTTTCTCGATTTGGGTGGTGGTTACTTGGCTGTAAATTCTAATTATTATTTGAGCTAAACACATAAGCTATGTGCCTTCTTCACTGTGGATAGTAAATCTCCCAATAAAATGTTAAAAACAACAGCAAAAGTATTGTTCTTAATTAGGAGGAAAACCTTATATCTCAGAAAAAAACATTTCTTCAAACTTATCTACCTTAGATTATATTTATTCTAAGAATCTTCACCCAACCATCAAAATAAATAGAAACATTAATTTAAAAGCTCTAGGAGACAGATAAATTACATAATATGTGTGTGTGTGTGTGTGTGTGTGTGTGTGTGTGTGTGTTTGATTTTTGTTCTCAAGATGTCAGTCACAGAAGCAATTGAAAGAAAACCTCTCTTCACATTCTCAGCTACGGAGACTTTGCTAGTTTCCACATATATCAAATATGCTTTTTAAATTCAACTCTAAGTCTGTGGTTTATTTAATCTGAAAGAATGAGCAATGATAATAAAATGCAAAAAGTAATATTTACTTTTTTCAGGTTAGAGAACTATTGTGTATAAACTTTGTTCTGTAATTTCATGTAAAAACTTCTGGATGCAGTTTCCACATATAAGTGTTCATTGTAACAGATTATTTCTCTGTTCTTATTTTTCAGGTATTATCTTCTCTGAATAAAGAAAGTAATGAAGAAGGTATAGTATATGTTGGTTCATAAGAAGCGAAGTGTATAAATTTGTGGTAATGAAAATCAAAAAATATGTGAATTTAAAAGTTACATAAGCTAAGTGAATTTTTTTACGTCATTACATTTTTCAGATGAAATATCTTATTTTCCAATTTCATAAATTGAAAAGGATAATATTTATGGCTTTTAGACTAGAAAATGATTTGATTATATAGTGACTTTTATGGTGAAGCACTGAGAGATTCCAGCCAGTTCTAATAAATTTAAAAAGACTTAAATATCTGGCTCTATGAGATTTTCTAGATTATCTCTTGTCATTTTAATGAATCATTAACTTTAGCAGATCTTAAAATAAAAATTTATATTGTAGTAGGATTAAAAATAAATACAATATTTTATTACCATAAGTTGAAACTGTTTTAAGAAACAAAATATTCTGTGGTAAATTTTTCAAAATGGAAGCATGTGCACATGTGATTTGTCTTTTAAAATATTGCAAGGCTTTTGGCCTTTTGTTTTAATATAAAGTATTGGAAGAATATTCTGCTTGCAAATTTGGAGGAAAAATAAGAACTGTTTATGATGAGTCAAGTTATAAGATGTTTAGAGAGGAATAAATCCATGGACATGATTTCATGGGAAAGCAAGCTGTATTCCTTTTATGGCGAACTAACAGATTTTTTTTTGCAATACTGTCCCATTTGGGATATTTGATGGGCAGTCAAATTTTACAATACAAGGTTTTCCTAAACCTTTTATGCTGTAGCTGGGGTTACTAATTTTGTTTTGTTCATTTGAGACTAAAATGACACAGAAAGATACAGGCGATAAAGTGGGAAGGCTCTAGGATTTTTAATGTAGCTTTATATAAGGCTTGGGCTAAATGAGATAACTTAGCACAAAAGTTTAAAGGGAAGTTGCTATAAATAGAGAAATGTGACTTTAAGTAGAGAAATGGAGCACTTACAACTTTTCATCTTCCTAAAGGTCTAAATTAAATTTGTTTTATCCTTCCCTCCTTCTTCCTCTTACCCTTTCCCTAACACCCTTCTTTTTCCCATTTTAAACACAGAGCAAGTGTGGCACTTCCTTGGCAAGTGATTGGAACATTTGAAATTCTGCCATCAAGATCCCAATCTCTAAGGACCTCAAGATTCTTTTTCCTCTAAGTGCTAGAGACAGGCGGGTCTATGAACATTTGCTGACTTCTTATTGAAATTTCATTTTTTCAAACTTTTTGAGATATGCAATATATAAATAAACTTGAAATTTTTGAATTAGTCTCTTTAGACATTTATTGGCATAAAAAGATTTGGTTTAATTTCATAGCAAAGATTTTGAAGCATTGAGTTTTGACCAGTTTTAATTTCTATACCTAAAGGAACCCAATAATTTCATTAGCTTTTATTTCTATAGGTTAAATGAAAAGTAACAAGTTTAGTAAATTAATAAATTTTTTGTAAATAATATTGTTCTCATTTATACTGTATTTTCCATTTTCAAGTTCATTGCTGGTATTTAGCCAGCCTCTGTCCTCTCTTATTAGTGCCTCTCTTATTTGTTAGGACTTCTTCCTGTAATTTATAATTTTGGAGGTCCTGAACTCTTTTTGATTCTTATTCAGTCCCCTTCATTTCAATTCTCACTTCTGTGGTGATGAATCCCAAATCTACATAAGAAGTCTCTTTCTGGAGTCTGCCTGTTGGACATCTCTTTAAATGCTTTTGGCCTTTCTTGTACAAACCTCAATTCATCTTCCTGCTCATATGCTTCTCTTCCCTTGTTCTTGAACAATGGTATTAACATTCTTTTGGTCTCCCACTTGAAGCTTTAAAATTACATTGAACCTCTCTTTACTCTCTTTACTCATGAAGATGATCTAAACGTTTGTCAGTGAATTCTCTTACACCCATGCAGGAGTAATGTGGAGGATGAGGCACAAAGGCGGGATCAGAGAGGCATGGACAAGAGACAGGAGGCTGTTAAAGAGTCTAATAAAATAAGAGAAATGCAGCAGAGGATGGGTGTAAGAGAATGAGGATGACAAACATTTAGATCATCTTCATGAGTAAACAGTGAATTCCTAAGCATAGACCCTGTCTTGTTATATTTTTCTCAAAATGCTTTCAGTGACTTTCTATATTCTTGACAGTAAATACCAGATTCTTGTTTCCTTAAGAGACTCATCCTCAGCCATGTTATACTGCTTGTTCCTCTGCAAACTTAACGTGTACTTGCACACTCCCAGTACTGTGCTTCTCTTCCCTTGCCAATTCTGTTCATGACTTATTCTCCCTTTTTCTTTCTATTATCCTAATTAACACATTGCATTGACAAAAATTATTTGTGGTTCACAAAGCACTATTATGATAACAGTTACTGTTTATTGAGCACCTATTGTGTATCAAGCACTGTTTTAGGTATAATATATGCATATACTTTATAAGGTCGTTGTTGCCCACTTGATACATGAGGCTCTAACAAACTTGCCCAAAGTCACACAGCTAGTAAGTTGCAGAGCCAGAATTAGAACTCATGACTCTGTGACTCTAAATTCTATGTTTTTCTCGCCCCTCCATGCATGCAGCTTCTCTCATACAGCCATCTTGTGATGTAGGCAATGCTCAGAGTATCCTTATTTTATAGAAAGGAAACAGGCACAGATTGTTTAAGTCATTATCCCAGAGGTAAATAACAATGTTCTGTTGAAGTGTCTCTGGGAATGTGTGAACCTCTTTGAGGGACAACAGAGTATAAAGGAAGAATATGTTGTTTTTTATGTTACTGATATATCAACTTTTAAAACTGTGAAACTAAAATGTACAGAAAGATGAAAAACAACTACTATTGCAGTAATTGTAAAAATAAACTGAAATTATCAAGGGATAGATTCATGGACTTATAGCATGTGGTACATCAGGCTCCTGAGAAGCTGGAAGAGAGAAGCCACGTCTGGTAGGCCTCCTGTGGGGCAAGACACACCTAGCGCTTGGCTCCCTTCCTCCTCCCAGTTAGTAGTATTCAGATGTCTAGTTAATGAGCCTTGTGGGGAAGTAAATCTCTTTACAGTACTCCAGTCAATCACAGTAGTCTTCCCAGTGTGTGAGTTTACATAATTATATAATCTTAATAAATATGTAATTTTGAAATTTAATATTTTATCATATCTTAAGTGTCCTTCCATGTTGCTGCACAGTCATCAGTATTATTATGTTGACAATTACATTTCATCGAGTGACTCTTTCATGATTGTTTCAGAACATCTTCCAGACTATCTAATTTAACTGTTGCCAGTCCAAGGCCATGAAACAATTAAATTGAATCTACTTTATACTAAATACTTATAAAGGAAAGTTACTGGGAACAGATACAGTGAATCATTGTTAAAACTGCCTAAAACAAATTAGGAAACTAAAATTGACCTATCAGTGTAATTTTAGGTCATACCCACAGCCAGTGCCTACAGATGTGAAAAATTGAAAGGGGTAGACTATCCAAGAATCATTTTTCTCAAATATGATATAATTACAAATACCTGAAATTGTTATGAGCTTTCATTTATTTTTCACACACAGGTAACCATTTCATACACGATATATTTAGCAATTTATATAACATGTAAAGGTAGGTTTGGTAAGATGTGACTGACTTGTTCCAGGAACAGCAGGAAGCCTGTGTGACTGGAGGGAAGGATCAGGAATGAGCAGCAGAGATGAGGCACCAGAGAGAGCAGGGAGGTCATGTAGGACCTGTGGCCATTGTAAGGACTTGGCCTTGGCCTACTAGGATTTAGGCCAAAATCTCATGCATCAGCAGCATTTCTGTCTGTAGATGGACAAAACCAGCTAAACCCACTGGTAATATGAGAGGCCACTGGAGGGTCTTGAGCAGAGAAGCAATCATCCTAACTGCTGTGTTGAAAACTGATCATGCTGAGGAGGGTGGGGGGCCAAGGTTGGAAACTGGAAGATTGTTTACAAGGCTTCTATAAATTTCCTAAGGTGGAATCATAGAAGAACATTTTATAGCCAAATAGATTTTCTTAAGGGTTATTTTAAGTTACATTGGCACCAGTCATATATGAGATCCCTATTAGATACCTCTCCAATAGAATATTTTATTATTATATTATTCATAATAGGTTTAACCTTTTCTCTACATATTTACTTATCATGGTGACTTTTATGAATGTTCTGTATCTTTTCTTTGCCTATTTATCTATTGGATCTTAATGTTTTTATCATTTTATATGATATTCTTAATTTTAGGTGTAAAGTTTGGATTCTGAATAGTACTGAAGAGTTACTTTAAATTGGCCTACTTTCAAATCAGAGGTCTAAACCTGGGCCCTGAGAATGTGCTGATCTAACTGAGGGAGCCAGGGTGAAATATATTCATTTTCCTTGTTAGGACTAGCCATAGCTCTGTCCCTATTAAGTTACTGCTTCCTGTTCTGTTTAAAAGTTAAAAATGAAAAGAAGATAAAACATTTAAAGCTTTCAATGCCATTCTAAATTAAAAATGGATAAAGAGCAATACCAGTACAGTTTTAAAAACAAATCATGAAGAATGCCATACAATAAGCCTTACTAATTAAAGCAGCTAAAATGTGGTGACTGATGTGCATCTGTGGTCCTAACTAGGAGAATTTGATAGCTGGCAAGACCAGGGATTACCATTCTAAAACAAGAATTCTCCCCAGCTGGGGAGTAGACCATGAATACTAGGATTTAGTCCAAAATCTCATGCAGCAGGAGCATTTCTGTCTGCAGGTGGACAAAACCAGCTAAGCCCACTGTGAAATCAACAAGTAGATTTATCTGTTCCTTTCTGTCTAACCAACAGCAACTCAAGCAAGACCACATGCTCATGGCCTCTTCTGTGCAAGAGATTCCTGCTAGCTTCTCGTGAGTGGTAGAGGCAGATGTAGAACAGGGCTCTGGCTTTTGCCTCTAAGACTACCTAATGCCCTTTCTACTGTATCCTAAACTCCTTGAACTGTTTCTTATCCTCAAAGCCCAGCTGAAATGCAGCCTTTTCTGTGAAAACTCCCACAGTCCCTCATGTTGAATTATTTTCTCCTCTATGAGTGGTGAATAGCACTATTTATTCCTCTATTAATAGTATTTAGGTCATTCTGACTTGTATTAGAATTGTTGATATAGTCTCTGCTGCTGGATGACAATCTCCTGAAGAGAGTAGATACTGTTTTATGGCAACTTTTTGCATTATTGTCTTATACATAAACAAGTCAGCTTTATTGACTTAAATCAATACAACATCCTGTGAGGAAGACAAGTATTTCCATTTTATTTATCACATCAAGTAAAATTTATTGAGATTAAGTGGATTCCTGGAAATCTCAGGCCTCCTGTGTCTTATCAGTGTTCTATTACTGCAGCTGAAGGCATTTTGAGGAGTAGCTCTCTGCTCTGTTCCAAAAGTCCCTGTCAAATCTTTAAAATACTGTATGAGAATATACTCATTTTAAGGATCTCCAAAAATAGGAATTTTAAGACATCTACCCTAAATACCTGTTGTTGTAATTTAGCTTTTTTTATTTTTAATGTATATGGACTTGATCATTGTATTTAGAGAACTCATAAATCATAAGGTATAAAATAAAATAATACAATTTTAATAGAAATAAAATTCTATAATCATTTTTCCATAATTCTTGCCTGTTAAAAATTCTACTTATCATTGAAATTTTTCTTGAAATTCTAAATTATTTGGTATATTTTTCGCTAGGGCATCCACTAATGAATATAGTGGATCTGCCTAGTGTCAAAACAATACAAAAACCCATATGTCATTCTTTGTGCATTCCATATATCTTTTTATTTTATTTTATTTTATTTTTATTTTATTTTTTTTAGTTGGAGTTTCACTCTGTCGCCCAGACTGGAGTGCAGTGGCGACTCCCGGCCACTGCAGCCTTGACCTACTGGGCTCCTGTGATCCTTCCGCCTCAGCCTTCCAAGTAGCTGGAACTACAGGTGCATGCTACCATACCCAGCTAATTTTTGATTTATTGTAGAGATGAGGTCTCACCAAGTTGCCCAGGCAGGTTTCAAACCCGCGGGCTCAGGCAATCCACTCACCTCAGCCTCCCAAAGGCACGGGATTACAGGCTGAGCCAGAGCCCAGCTTCATATATCTTTTTAATGCAAACTAGAATATTTTGTGTTTTCTGAAATAATGATTAGTGTTACCTGTCTTGGATTTTGTTTTGTTTTTCCAAGTAAATATATGATATGCAGAAAGTAAAATTCTCTGG